GTTTCTCTTACTAATTATATAAGACATTATAAACTAGCTAAAAAGAACCTAGTACTTTATAAAGTTTAACATACAAGACAGATTTAATAAAATAAGAATAAAAAAGGGAGATAAGTAGCCTGTATACAGCATTCTAAACCCTGTAAGGACTTTATAAACTACTAGTAATGCTGTTTAGCTTAATAAATGCTTTAGCAACATTTTAGTAAATTATTAATATAGCTCTTAACTTATACCTTAATGTCTTTACTCTAGTATACCTAGATAACGTTCTTATCTACTTAAAGGATAGCCTAGAAGACTACATACAGAAGGTATAAAAAATCTTAAAAAAACTAAAAAAGTATAGACTCTACTTATAGCTTTCTAAGTATAAATTCTATGTTACTAAAATAAAATACTTAGAATTTATAATTAATAGTAAAGAAATAAAGATTAACCTAGCTAAGATATAAAAGGTACTTAAATAGCTAAAACTTATAATAGTTAAGAAAGTTAAGGGATTTCTTAGACTATTAGGCTATGTTAGGCAAATAATTAAGAACTACTTAAGAATTGCTATACCCCTAATAAACGCTACTACTAAGGAAAAAGCTATAGTAAAATTTATCTAGACCCTATAAATAAATAAAGCATTTGTAGCACTAAAATAAGCTATAATAGCTAAACTAGTGCTAAGGATGTACAACTTACAACTAGATACTAAGATCTATATAGACGCATCTTTAGAAGCTAGCAGAGCTACACTTTACTAAAAACAGAAGAACAAGAGATAGCACCTAGTAGTATACTACTCTGCTAAGTTTTTAGGACCTAAAGCTAGCTACAGCATACCTAATAAAAAGCTAAAGGCAATACTAAATGCAGTAAGAGTATAGGCAACAGAGCTGCACAGAATAGTAAAACTTTTTTACATTATAATAGACTATGTAAACTTAGTTATGTTTCTAACTATAAAGAAACTCTTACTTATGCATGTAAAATAAGTAATAAAGCTTACTTAGTTTAATTACATTATTAAGCATGTTCTAGAAGCATAAAACTAGCAAGCTAACGCTCTTAGCTAAAGACTAGATTACTTTAATAAAGAAAAGAAAAGAACTAAGAAATTTACCCTTTTTAAGAAAACTAATAAAAGATAGATTTATAATAAGCCTTAACCTATAAAAAAGCTCTACATGCTTATAGTAAATAAGTAAGGCTAAAAGAACTTAATCTATAAATACTATAAATCTTTAATGTTTAGACACCTAGGTATAGGCACTCTCTAAAAGAAGTTACAAGCTGCTATACTATAACGCATACTAAAAGTAAAGCAACTATGCACTAAGGTGCTTAGAGAATGCAACACCTGCAATAAAAATAACTTATAAAGATATAAGACCTATAGATACCTTTAACTAATAAAAGCTCTAAAATAACTATAAATAATAATTACAGTAGACTTTATTATAAGACTTCCCCTGTCTAAGAAACTAGGAATAGAAAGAATGTGTAATATAATTATAGTAGTTAACCTTTAATAAAACTACTAAGTATCTACACACATAGCTATTAAAAAAGACTATTATAGCTAAGAAGTTTATCTATAAACTTAAGCAGAATGTTATATTAGTGCATAGATGCCCTAAGATTATTATCTTTAATAGAGATAAACTATTTACTAGTAGATTCTAGAAAGTAGCTATAAGGCACCTTAGTATAGCACATAAACTATCTATAGTATACTATCTATAGATAGATAGCTAAACTAAGAGAGTAAATACTAAAGTAGAGAAGTACCTAAGGAAGTACATCTCTTACACCTAAGATAATTAGGCAGAATAGCTTTTTATAGCACAGCTAGCTATTAACATAGTAGAATTAGCTATAATAAAAGAAACGCTACATAAAGCTAATTTTAGCTATAACTTATATTTTATATTATAAAAAAATTAACTTACTAATCTTTAGAAATCTATTAACTAGTTGTTAAACTTATAAAATATACATAAAAAATTAGTAATTAAGGCTAGATCTAGTTAAAAAATAATAGAATAATATGTAAACAAATTATAATAACTAGAACTAAAAATACACCTAGAAGACTACATATATTTTAACACTAAGAACCTTAAAATATCTAGACTCTCTAGGAAGCTAGTAGAAAAAAGAATAGGACTATATAAAGTTTTTTAAACCTAGCAGGATAACTGCAAGCTTAAGCTTCCTCTATATATAAAGATACACCTATAGTTTTATGTCTCTAAATTAGAAAAAGCATTTAAGGAAATTCTCTTATTTATGTAGAAATAAAAAGATAAGAAAACTAAGTACAAGATTAAATATATTATTAGTAATTAAAGAAATAAGAAAGAGTTTCTAGTAAAATAAAAAAAGTAGCTTACTAGCAAAAACACTTAGAAACTAGCTAAGAACTTACAGAACGCGCAGCTGCTAGTATAAAAGTACTTTTAAGCTTATCTAAAAGAAACTAGCTAGGTAATAGAGCACCTATATTAAAAAAAATAGCTATGTTATTACTAGATTGTAGCAGCCTTTAAAGATAAGTCTTTACTAAAGAAGGCTGTAGAGGTAAACAGCCCTCTGCCTTAGCTTTAAGGGCTTCTATTTTATCTAATAATAAAAGATCCCTTTTTAGGTACTTTACGCGTTAAGCCTCTAGCAGATCTAGTAATTTTTAGATATAATTTTATTTAAATACTTTCTAGCCTTTGCCTTTACTAACTTTTAAAGTTAATAAGTTATTTCTTTGTCTAGCTTCTACTTTTAAACCTTTACTGCTACAGCATTTTAAAGAAGTTCTTCTCTCTTCTTCTCTAAGTAATTCTATGCAGTGTCTAAAATAAAGGTGTTGCACTTGCTGTTTTTTTTTTACACACTCTACACACTTATCTAATAACAAGGTTAACATATAAGATAACTTTAATAATTAGTAAGCACTATAAAGTTACATCTTTGTCTAATAAAGAGGATTAAAATAAGCAACAGTATAAGAATAATAAGAAGAACAAGACTAACAAGCTATTTAGCATAAAAGATATAAATGTTAAGGATGCCTTTTAGTAGGTAGGCGCCTACTTTATAAACAAACTCTTACTAACACAGTTGTGTAAGCAGATCGGCAAGGACGCTGCTAGGGAGGAGGGGCAGCGTGTTACAGTCTACAGTTGGACTAGCGTAACTCTACTAGTTGTGCTCCACAGTCTAGCCGGGTTAGAGCAGGGCTTGCTTATAGCCTAGCTAGAGGACACAGAGGCGGTGCAACTACCTGCAGTAATAGAAGAGTGCGTTATCTAATAGGAAGGTAGGCTACACGTCTATTAAGTCTAAGAGAGTTTGTAGAGCTATGCTTAGCAGGCTTACATAAACTTACTCTACTTATTCTTAGCACCTTTAGATATGTATATAGTTTAGACTTTAAATAACTTTTAAAAGGTGTGTTTAATGTTTAGTTTATTCTCTATATAGACTAAGTAGGATTTAGCTTTCTAAAGAGCTATAATACTATTTATATATTTTACACTATATATACCTCTAACCCTGTCTAACAGGACTGTTTGCACCCGGCCACTATACTGCTGCACACAGGGCAAACCACAATCTGGTCACTCTATCCATCCTCTATTAGCCTAGTAACCTTTACGCAGGACTGTACACCCTGCCGTTGGTCCCTATCGCCCGACCTACTCCCTTCCCCCAGGAGTACCATTGACCCGAGTGCTTCCACGAAGCAAGGATTGTAACAGTAGAGCCTTTGCGAAATGTTTCTATCTATTATCTACTTACTACTAACCGCTAGAGGCGGACGCTGTTTAATTCTACTAAAACTTTAAACGCAGCTAGCGCCTCTTGCCGTCTTGCTAAATAATTCTTTTACTAAAAACAGTTAAAACCTCTCTAGTGCCTACCTTTTAACTACTCTCTTTTCTGCTACAACGCTTATATAGCTTAACTGCTGCCTGCCTATAGCCCCCAAACCTGTTTTTGTCTCTTTACGCTAAAAAAACCTTACTATTCTAGGTCTAACCTTATCTTTATTTCTGCTTAAAGGCTCTAAGGTAACAGTACATTCGCGACGACAATTTATTTAGTGCACAACGGCAGAAAATACTACTATTATCTCTAAATCAAGTCATCATGCCTGAAGAACAAGGACCTGCCATGCCGCTATAGGCAGTTAATGTGCGGAATCAAATCTAGCTAATAGAGCGTCTAGTTCTACAACAACAAAAATAGCAGATAAGATCTAATAACACAGGGGGCTAGGTACTTTCAGGCAAGCATCTAGGTGTGTGTACAATTATAAATCTGTATAAAACGCTTAGAGTCTTAGAGGAACTAAAAGTAATCTTACAGTCACTAGCAAGGAAAGAAAACGCAGTGAAGGGCCTTCTAGAGGTTAAAATGCAGTCACTCTTAATAACTAATCTTAATTGTCTTAAGAAGGATACATGTATTGTTATTTAGAAGGCGTAGCAGAGAGGTAGAAGAATAACTAAGGAGTTATTATAGCCTCTAATTTAACGTAGGTGGATTTTATAGAATTATAGCAATGCTATTATGCACATAAGCTCTCTAGTTGCTAAAAGTCAAAGCACCTCTTATTTTTCTCAGCATAGTGTTTTTCGCTAAGTTGCAAGGGGCATTCCTTGTTTATCCTAGTAACGTTATATGCAGTGATCGGTGTTACAGGAGCGCTGGGCGATTCCTCTGCTGACAGTGCTTTTAGCTTCAGTTGCCGCGGGTCTAGCTCTGAAGAACGGGGTGCATGTATGGTGCATACACTGTGCCGGAAATGTGGATCTACAATGCAAGGATCTTTTGCGAAGACGGGTGGCGTTGTCAGCACGTCTCACCGCACATTTACCCGAGTCTTCTAAAGGGTAAGCTGAAGACTAGGATCTGTACCAGCTATCCTTGCTTGTTCTAACGCCATTATGTAATTATTTATATTATGTAGGAATGTAGTTTTCTGTGCCATTTGCAGTGCAATGGTTGTCGAGCCTTGAAGAATTACACATGTGTGTTGTTTCTAGAACACTACAGCGATCGCACAAAATTCATTCGTTGTCAACAGCAATCTCATTTGCACTGTTTTACTAAGTACGCAAGGTAGTTACCCTTCTTTTGCGTCCATGGCTCCCGCAAGCTTTGCAGACCAGAACGAGATAGACGTTGGGCACAAGGTCTTGACAATCTTAGGATGTGGTATGCTACTCATTCCGCGCCATGTTCGGAGATCTTTTCATCCTAAGGGCGTTCACAGGATCTCTTGGTACTGCCATTCTGTCTGGTATACTTGCGTCGAGAAATGCATCCTCTTCAACAAGCGAGGATCAGCCTAGTCCAGGCACGACGTTCAAGCGCTTTATCGCTTGCGTACGTCGCGACGAAGCTGTGGCTGCAGTCAAAGACAAGCTTGCAGCTTACGCGGATACCTCCAACGTCGAGGTTCTCAATCGACAAAATTTGAAGGGAGTCAAGCAAGCAGACACAGTCCTTCTAGCCTGCCAGCCAGAATGGTATCAAGCAATCTTTGACGAACCAGGAATGCAAAGAGCTATGGAAGGAAAGCTGATCGTCAGTGTACTTGCCGGCGTGACGACGCAACTGATCCAAAGCGCCTTGGGAGGGGACGAAGGGCTGTACTTCGTGGTGCGTGCTATGCCTAACACGGCTTGTTTCGTGAGAGACTCGACAACGGTGATCGAGACACCTCAGCCAAATCTGTCACAAAGTCTGCTTGCTACAGCAGAATCTATTTTCCGTTGTGTAGGACAAGTGTCCTACGTAAAGCCGTCGACATTCAACGTCTGTACGGCAGTCTGCGGGTCATCTCCCGCATTCTTCAGTGTGATTATCGATGCGATGGTGGACGGCGCGGTAGCGATGGGCTTGAATCATGCCGATGCTCTGCGGATGGCGGCATTCACTATGAGAGGAACCGCTAATATGCTTGCCAATGGGCGAGATCCCAGGCAGGTACGATTTGAGGTTGCATCTCCCGCTGGTTCAACCATGCAAGGTCTCCTTGCACTTGAGGAGGGTAAAGTGAGGTCAGTGGTTTCCAATGCATTGATAGCAGCGACTACAGCGGCCGCGGGACTGGGTAGCAAGGACCAGAGGTCTTGATGTAAGCTCGAATTTGTAGCAGCTAGTGCAATAGCGGAAGAATAAGCATAGGCGGCCAGGCCGGACAACTCTTCCTGTTCTTGCTTTCTCTCTAGCTAAGTAAGGCTATAATTCTTGCATTTTGTTTGTCCTAGTCATTATATACTAGCAACTCTTATACGCTGTCTGTAGGAAGTTAGATAGGGCATGTTCATTAGCTAAACATATTTTTTTCCCGATCTCTACAGACCTTAGAATAGGAGACTTTAAAATCACTTACTTATATTCAGTATAGAGAATGAATGCATCTTAGAAGGTCGTCCCTCTTATATATGGCGCCTATAGACCGTGGTTTAGAAATTACCTAGCAAGAAAGAGTAACAGCTGTGTTTCTAGACAGCGTAGTGCTTTAAGAACTTTAACAACCTGCTTTAGCGTGCTCAACAGGATGTATTTGACTTTAGTTGACTAAAGAAATGTATTAAGCGCGTGATTACTAAGATTCATTTGCATTTAGGTAAAGATATCCGTTGGTACTACAATTACTCAATTACTCCTGCCACTATACACGCGATTCTTATAGATTGTTTACGCAATTACACTTTACAATAGAATAAGTAGTTTAGGCTCTAGCTATCTTAAGAGCAGATTTTCACAGTCGCTTCCCTAGAGAACCAAATATTTAAGCAATACATACTTGCTCTCTGCTAACGCGATTACTAGGACTTCTAAAACGCCGTCCTCCCCGTCTTAACAGCCTTCAACACCCCCACATCCGCCAACTCCTCAATCATATTATATAGCACAAAATCGCACTCCCTCTTCACTACCAAATTCACCGTAACAGGAACCATCTCCTCCACAAACGTGACCTGCGACAGGTACGGCACCTGTCCGATCGGCACAGTGAAATCCGCACATGCAAAAATAGTACAGATACCCGATGCCGGTAGAACAGCCCTAGGAGACGGAACCGCCAAAAGCGTCGCGTTTGGTCCGGCGTTGAGATCCTCTTCGCGGTACGAGGGAAGACCCCCGGTTCCAATATCGTAGATCATAACGCTTTCAGAGCAGGACTCGTTGGTAGAGTACTGCAGGTTCTTCTCGTACCAATCAACTGCATCTCTCTTAGCGATGAGGGACGCGTTGTAAGCTTGCATTGTATTAATCGTTTCATCATAAGTAGCCCAGCCAGCGCGGAATTCTGCCTCGATAGGAGGGAAGCGACCTCCATAACGCGCAGCCCAAGTTGAAACGAGCCGGCTGCCGATAACCTTCCATGCGGGGAGGGTGTTGACAGTTCCAAGGTGGATAGCAAGATCAGTGAGATTGATGACGGCTTGCGTGGATACAGAGGAGTTCTGGACGGTGGACGTGAAGTCGAAGTGTTTCACCCTCATCCCGAAAAGGGAGGACATGTTGCCAATGAAATAATCCAGAAGTTCTTGGGCAGCGCTATTGTTCAACGGCAAGTAGTCGGTTGGATACAAAATAGTCTTCGGGTAGTGTTTATTGTCAGGGACTGAGAGAGGAGAGAGTCCAGTGATATCAGAGCTCTGATGTAAGGAAGGCGCGTACCAGTGCTTAGCAAAGCGTGCCCAAGAATGAGGGTCACGGGCAAAGACACCAGCTGTGTCAGTAGCGAATCCAAGCGGAAGTACGTTCTCGAGAGAAATTATTCCTTGACTTGGACGCTGGCCATAGATACCAGAAACAGCCGCTGGGCGACGCATAGATTCCCCAGTATCGGTTCCAATAGCATAGTCGAGCCAGTCGTACGCTGCAACAGCGCAAGCACTGCCAGAAGAGGACGCAGAGCAGCTCAGATATCCGTCACCGCGAGGATTGAACGGGTAATGGAAGTCTTCCCAGCTCCAAGGATCAGCTGCAGAAGCAAATTGCGCAGGTTTTGTTTTGCCCACAAGCACACCTCCCAGCTCAATGATCTGCTGGAGTGCTGGCGCTGTCGCGTTGGCAGGATCAACGATGGATTGCCATGCCAAAGATCCGCCTGACGTTTTTAGGCCTTTCATGTCGAACAAGTCCTTCACGCCAACTCTGAAGCCCGCGAAGGGCCGAGTGTCGTAAAGAGAGTACAAGCGCGAAGGAACTGGAATAGTCGCGAACACAGATCCAGGAAATCTGTGGTCAAGGGCTGTGTAGATACCGGTGCCATCGTTAGGTTCGTACGAGCCATACAGAAAGTTGTCGTGGTCGTCGCTGTAAAGGCGGTATATTGTTGAGAAGCTGATCGCATTACCGGAACTTGTTGCTAGATAGGGTCCAGGGGGCAGCTTCAGTGGACTTGGCGACTTGGCTACCTTGGTCGAGGATGTTGAGATTGTTGTGTCAAGCAAGACGTGCTCGGCTCCTGAGCTTGAAAGATAGTCAATAGCTGACTCTCCAAGAACTCCCTTAGAAGCAGTTGATGTAATGGCAACGGCACCAAGCATGTCTTTGGAGAAAACATCGTCGATTGCCAGATACTGCGAAATCGTGTCTTCCAGAAGCTGCTGAGTTATGGCTGATGCATTGGTTGAAATAACCGTAACAGGGAACCATTGTTGATTCGGCTCCTCGCTAAACGTCCAGTTGATATTGGCTTTTGGATACTTGGTATTGACAAGATATGTGTTGTCACCCAGCTTGAACACGAGTTCATCTTCACGTGATGTTAGGAGGGAAATAGCTTGATTCCTCAATTGCAAATGCGCGAATGCTTGTGCACCGCATTGCGCAGCCAAGATCACAGCACGAGGAAAGCAGTACATCTCGTTGCAATTGAGCGAATGTGCAAAGAACTGTCTACATTCGCGTCAATTCCCTTAGAGTACGCAAATAAGGCTACGACCGCAGGAAATATCCAGTGTTTCCCCATGTCAGCCCTAAAGGAGGTGCTAGCGCCCCTCCCCCCAGTACCCTATTTCATTATTGTTCGGAAATGACCATTTCTGGTACGTAATTTGCGATGAATCGGGATGTCGGGCGGCTACCTCAACGTGTTGATCACTGGCGACCTTACTAGGGACTAACCAGTATTGAGATTTGCGTAGAAGGCATGCTCGAGACCCACTACTGCATTGTGAATCCAACAACACAGCCGACATAGCACGGTCAGACTAACTTAATGTCAGAAACTGAAATAACCACGATCCTGAAGGAAGAGAGAGTGAGAGGCATTTAATTAATGCCTAGCCTAGCTAGGCGCTAGCCGCATCTTCTACTACCTGGTGGGATGTGGAGTTAACCAGTGAGATGCGCAACTACCATGATGTCTGAGAACTAGTTTTCGGAGCTGAGACAGCAAATCAGGGCTAGGATGGACGTCATTTCCATTAGGTTTGAATGCTGTAGACTTCTAAGTGTAATACCCCGTACTTTGAGGTTATTCTTTAGTGCTGATGATTTCTGCAACGAAGGGCCACAGAAGACTCCTTCCCCAGGTCATCTCACCGACCGACTAGTACAATTGAAACACGGGCAAGGATAGTTGAGGCAAATCCTTAGTCGTAGGGCCCTATGGGAGGAGATGCGGCTAAATGAGAGGTGAGATGAGATCCGTACTGTCGGCAACGGGTCTAACTCGGCGCTTTAGCAATACTGTTGCGCACGAAATTGTAGTGTTTTCTTTTTAGTTTGAAGTGGGTCTCTCACATGCAACCTCGCCGAGAAATCAATTACAGTAATAGAAACCAATGGCACCGTAAGCTTAGAACACGCACGGCACCCTACAGCATGGATCGCTGCATGCTTACGGTGTTGCTCCACGCAGTCCGGCAATCCTACAAATGCGTGGCGAGACTAAAGTGGCAAAAAAGCCAAATTCACTGTATTCTAGTGTTAGCATAGTAGGAGTAGCGCAGCATTCTTCCAGCATAGATCACATAGCGCAATAGCAAACCAAACCCTAACGCTCACCTCTCACATGCCTGTCTCTTGATAGCATGGGCCGGGGTCAACAAACGACCCACTCTTTCGCATCCCACTTACGCATGCTAAGAAGCGACATTCAGTCGTGCGACTTAAGGCACCCCAGGACAACGGGATCGACCCGTGTTTACCTGTTTCGGCAGGGGCGCAGGAACAATGCTTTGGTTGGTGGGGGGAAGACCGGGATTCCTGCCCTATCCTGCTGTGGGCTAAGCCACGTTCTATCTAGTATAGTACTAGAACATTAGTCTGTTTACACTCGAAAAGTTAACATTTTAAAGGTAGATTTCTAAGCTTAATAGCTAGGCTATCCTAGTACTTTGTTTGCAGCCTCTAGCTTTTATAACTGTCTTTATTCTTTTTAGTATTAAATTAATTAGCTTCTTTATAAGATTCTTAGGGAAGACTTGCTAATGTTTCTTAGCAGCCCTAGTAAAAGCCTCTCTATTAGCTTCCTATAGCCTTTAGCTCTCTAACTCTAGGTGCATTTTATAGACCCCCTTCTTAAGTGTATGCTAAAAATATTTAATAACATTTAGTCTAGTAAGTAGACTAGCTACTTAAGCACTGTAAAAGCACTGTAAAGCAAGAAGCATGAAGCGTAGAAGAGGGTATAGGATAGTATTGATAGACGAATCCTTAAGGAGACTTAGAGGTTCGCGAGAGGATATATATATATGTGCTAGAGCATGTAACAGGACGTTATGTGCCTAAGGCCGAGCCGAGGGCTCTCTAGGGAGAGACCGAGGCATGTCTAAGTTAACTGTGACAAGCACCTTATTATCTATTTGTCACAGTGTGACAAGAGACAGTATACTATGCTTGCATAGTATCTTTAAACAACACTAGAAGACGATTAACAACAGCTCTAACCTAACTCTAGAGCTTATAAACCGAATCTAATTTAGAGCTAGTCTGCGTAGAGGCTAGCTCGCGCGTTGACTAGACAACAACCGAACCTTAATTAGGCTAGTAGCGCACCAACTAGCCTCTAAGTACTTATTAATCTATAAAGAACCTCTAATTAAGCTTCTTACACAACGTCTTGTATAATAGAATATTATACAAGAGATTAAATCTAAACATTTCTTAAAAGCTATCTATGCTACTACAAGCTAATTAATAGCCTCTTGTAACACTATTATATTTAGCTATAGAGTAGTATAATACGTAGTATATATTAGCATGTTATGTATCTAATAGAGAGTATCTTTAACTAAGATTAGTACAAGGTTTTTTTAAAGTCTAGATATGTAACTAAGTGCTATAGCTATTCTATCTAGCTGTTAGATTGAAGCACTGTTTCTAGGCTTTCTGAGATGAATGATGGGTTTGGATATAATGTATGGGATGATTGATTGATTGTATTGATCTATTGATCCTTTTTCTGCTCTACTCGTGTTGCTCGGCTTTTGTTTTTCCGATCCGAGTCCCTCGCGCACTAGCCCTATGCGCGACCAGCTTGCAACATGCTGCAATTTGCTGCAATTTGCTGCAACATGCTGCAAAATGCTGCAATTTGCAGCAACATACTGTTTGAGCTTATTGCTCGTACTATGTAGCAGCTTTCGTCAAACGTTCCTCCTGTCTTGACAGTAGGTGCGCATATCTGACACACCCCCTCAGCTTGGACATGCTTCAAGCTGGTTCCCGATTGCGCAACCTTAGTATGCTTCCAGGGCTTCCATTCTTGCTTCAATCTCTTCCATATCTGCTTCCTGACTGACTATCCTCTCCCTGACGTCAACTAGCTGAATTTGCTAAAGAAAGCTTGGCCATTTGCTGGCTAGAAGCGCTTTGGTGAGTCCGTCCGCAAGCATCTTGCTAGAGAGGACATAGACAACCTTAATTGTTTGTTAAGAGACTTCCTGTCAGAGCTAGTAGTTATAGATGTTAACATGTTAGAGCTTAGTTTAAAGTTAAGATATCTCTTTGTTTACTAGTTAGATTGTCTGCTTGTTGTTGCACTAGATTATAATAGTTAAATTAGGCAGCTTAACCTACAGTTTGTTAAAAAGCATTCTTATAAACATAGCTTCCTTAGCAACTTAGAATAGTGTAAGTAATTCTGCTTCTGTTATTAACATTATAACTATATCTTGTTTATTTACTTACTATGCAATTTATCTGCTAAATAGTTAAATAACATAGCCCTAAAAGCTCTTTTTATTTAGTGTATTATCTATAAATAACGCATTGCTTACTACTACAAGGTAGTCTTCTCCTCCTAATTAGAGTGCGTACGTCTGTGTCGCATGTAGGTACAGGATAACTTAATTAGCTGCATCCTAATAGTTAGATGTAGGATTTGTAAGAAACTGTGCGAGGCGTAATGTAGTAAAGGTAATATCTAGTCTTATAGTAACTACTGCAAAGAGCAGAGATCTAATTTTCTGCTAATATTAATTTACTTTTAATAGGGTTGCAAAACTAGATTGCAGCATAAGTTTAATTCTACTTATAGGTGTAGCGTGCTGCAGGTCCTTTCTGTTAGCTAGCCTAGCTATCTTATTAATATATAAGGCCTGTAACAGCTAAATTATTTATTACTATTAATCTCTAATAATCTTAACTTCTAGGAACTATTATAGGTCCTTGCCTTCTATTAGGGTATACTTCTCTTGTAACTAGTCTACTACACACTGTGCATCTACTTTAGAGCCTTTTCTATACATAACAATAAAGTTGTCTACATAGAAGAAGATAAATATTCTAGCTTTAGTTATGTAGTAGGGTTTATGTAGAACAGCTAAGAACCTAAGGCCTTTAAAGGTTATTATAAAATAGTGTTACTAGAGTAGAAAAGAAATTTATAGGCTATATAGTGCTTTTTAAAGCTTTAGTATTATACCTAGTTTCTAATAGCCTTTTAGCATCTGCATGTAGATATTACAGTTAATTACTGCATGTATAAACGCGTTAGTTATGTTATATTATTTAAGCTCTAAGTTAAAGTGTGCAGATATTGCTATTAGCATTTAAAATAAGTGTCCTACTAAGGTAGCAGTGTAGGTATCTTGTGTAGTAATGTTTCTTTATTAATTACTATAGACTACTAGTTACGCTTTGCATCTTTATAATTTATAGTGCTTATTAAGCTTATAAGTGTACACCTACATACAATCTAGAATCTGCTATTTAGCTGCCTTAATTAGCTTTATCTAGACCTTTATCTAGGATTTTATTATCTAATAACTGTCTAAGTGCGTTTTTTTTGCTACCTTAAACATCTTATGTAAAGAGTGCTTCTCTAGTTACTTTTAAGTTAATAGTAAAAGTAGCAGCTAGCTTCTATAAGGTGTCTTCTTTTTAAATAGCATTTTTATTAATGCTGCTTTATCTAGTGTCTTACTGCTATACTTTTCTACACTTCTAGATCTTATGCTAGCTATAAAGGCTACAGCTTATAGTACAGTCTTTAACAACTCTATTTAGCTTAGCTTTAGTGCTGCTCTAGCTATTAACTATATAAGTAATGCTGCAGGTAGCAGAGTGTTTAAAGAAGACAGATAGTTATCTCTAATCTTTCTTTCTTAATAGTAGCCTAGTAGGTTTACTTTGTTAAAATTTAATGTATTATCTACAGTGTTGTCTTTATAAAACAACTCTATTTCTAGCTAATAACTAGGTGTTAGAAGCTTAATTATTTTAATATATATAGTAATTTTCTTTACTATGTTGTGCATAAAGTTATCTATTAAGTCTTTAAGCTTACTACTAAAAATTAAGTGTTTGTTAAAAATAATATTATGTGTACAGATTACTTTTGCTAGCAGTAGTATCTATACATAGTAGATGTTTAATAATTAGTACTTAACTAGATATCTAATCTACACCTTTAGGTCTAGCCTCTGTAGCTTAGATTTATTTTAATGTGTGTTATTAGTTATTATAAATGCTTTACAGCTATAAGCTTTTAGATGTGTAAAGCTTAGCTTTTAAATTAACATAATAACTTTATTATTTAAAGCTACTTATATAAAGAAGATCTTATATAGTGTCTTCTAGTTATTAGCATAGTTTAGCGTCTAATTATATAGGTATACGCTAGCTCTAGTAATGTATAGCTATACATTCTATAGTAGGTTAGCATCTAGTTATATAGCCTATAACTTTTTCTTATTTACACCCTCTAAGCGTTTAGCTTCTCTGTTCTAGGCTTATGTATTTAGTGCTAAAGGCTCTATAGTTATTCTATATAATGCTAGCTAGCATTCTACCTCTAGTTTTACTATTGTAATTTTATTGTTAGCTTTAATAACTTTTATAGTAATGTTATAATAGTTCTTTAAAAAAAGGATAAAGATTATAAAAGCTTTAATAATTAATTTAGTAGGCTTATTATCTTTAAAGTAAAGGTCTTACTAGAGGCTAGAATACTTATTAGTAATTAGCATTTAACTTTGCTCTTTTATAATGCTCTGTGCTTTATATGTATAGAAATTAATTAATAGTCTTTTACTAGGTCTACTATTGCTAATTTATAGTGCGTAGCTAATTTATTATTATATCTTAGCTTTACTACACAAGTTACATTAGACTGTTGTAATTCCTTTAATTTACACCCCCTTAGCTTACTGTATAAAGTGTTAAAGTGTAGCTAGTCTAGAGTGTCCTAGACGCTTATGCTATAGCTCTGCTAATGCCTTTTATAGACTACATTTAGTTCTTGTGTTAATTATGTGTGTATAATATAAGCCCTTCTATAGTAGATAGTACTCTAACACCTATTAGCTATAGATCTTTATAAGATCTTTAATTATTATTCTATCTAAGGCCTTTAAAGCAGTTAGCTCTGCTTATGTGTCCTACTAGATTCCTTTCTGTTGCAGTAGGCAGAACAAGACTAGGTTGTACAGCAGGTCTAGGCACAGTGCAGCGTTATGTAGTACAAGACTATATGCTTAACTATGTGTTCTATGCTTACTTTTTAAGCTTAGTGTAATTAATCTATAGCTTTAAATCTATACACAAGAGTTTCTAGACTAGATAAAGTCTTTTAGTGTTAGTAAATAATAGTTATAGATCTAATTAAAATTATTTATAATATAGCATGTTAAGCCTAAGTTAAGGATAAATAATTCTCTTAGTAGATATCTGTTCTAGTTTAAATTAACTATAGCTAGCAATGCAGCTGCCTTAATTTTTAATACTTCCTAGCCTTTAAGTTAGTCTTTTTATATCTCTAGCGTAGGTGTATGTAAACTTTTTAGAGTTAGTATCTTTAAATTATGTCTGCGCTGCCCTTTAAGTAGGCCTTAAAATTCTAAGTTATGCTTGCGCTTTAATGCTATAAGCTCTTTAACTCTTTTATTTAGCATCTACTAGTCTAGTGCTCTGTCTAGATAGACATAAAAGCAGTCCTTTAGTGCATAGATGTGTCTACATGCAGGACATTTAGTGCCTTCTGTTTTAGTAGGTTTCTAGCTTAAAAATAACTTTCTATTATCTTTTTAATAATATTAATGTTAAGGTCTACTTTGTTTTTTTAACATTATAACTTCTACACTACAGGCGTCTCTATTTATGCCCTAAGTAGTTTTCTTACTTTTAGTAAGGTATAACAAGTTATCTGTTGTAAAGGCAGCTTTATGCTTTTCTATATATATTAGATAATTTAACATTATATGTTTTTAAAAGCACTTTATTATTTCTTTCTAATTTATGTCTAGTGTAAACTGTCTGCTTTCCTAAAAAGTTATAGACTAATAAAGGGCAACTTTATTTATAGTAGTTAGAAAGTCCTTTATAATAGTATTAAACTGCGTTGTTTCTAGAACATTTTATGTCTCTGCTTCTATAGCAGCGTAATTATACTCTGCTAGCTACAGGTTCTATATGCTTATGTTTCTTAGCAGCTTTAAAGATGCATTATATTAGTTATGCACGCGTTCTTGTTTAAATTAGTTATTAACACTTACTATAGCTTTAGGGTTTGTAATCTACTGTCTAAGTAGTTAATCTAGGGAACAGCATGTACACTGCAGATGCGGGCTAACTGTTAACTAGATAAAGACAATAATCTGTTAGAAGCTTAATTACTCTCTTTTATAATTATGTCTGTCACTCTTGTACTTGTCAGCCTTAATCTTGTAGTATTTAATGGCTTCTTTAAAGGCTCTAACACTGCTTGTTAATAGCTCGTTCATGTGCGTAGGCGTTTCAACGTTAGAGGCTGGTGAAAACTCAGCTATTAGCGGCATCTCTGGAGCTCTTGGTTTGGAGATCATTTGGATGGTCAACTTAGGATCCACTTGCGGCCAGATGCTGTGCGCTACACATCTCGATTGCAGCTGCATCATCCAGGCTCTGTAGTCGGTGTGGTCTCGCAGGACGACTGTCGCGTCTCAAGGAGGCTGGGTGGCCATTTTGTATCGATGGAGGCACTGAGACTCTTAATTGTCAGATTAAAGCACTGTTTCTGGGCTTCCTGAGATGAATGATGGGTTTGGATAT